TATCATATATCTGCAAAACATGTCTGATCTTCCATAGCTGTGTTAGTTTACCAGAGGCTATTTGGATGGAAAAATGGTGTAATTCAATGAAGTGGGTCGAGGAAAATCCGCGGGGCCCCCCAATATTTGTTTGGAATAAGAAAGATGTTTGTGTAGGTTTTTCCCCTGAACCAATCCATTGAATAATTACTCTGTGGGATTCTGAAAGGCGTCTAATTTGGCAATGGGATTGTTTTTGTGGATGGGTAAAGAGTCCAAATCATGAATAAATGCCGGATAATATGCGGATATAGACTTAGTCAATGGAAACAGAGAAAATTCACAGGTAGATCAATGATACGCTCATTTTATATGTATATATATATATATAGAGAGTTAGACTGCTGGAGGGTAGTTTGTGGATCCTATCTTGGTCATTTGTCCCTGCCCCTGGATTTTTTCCCTGCGTTGACCTTTTTGGTGCTGTCTCGATGTTTTGTTGAGCTCACTACCAGCTCATCCCATCCCGTTGCCCCATTTGCGCTTAGTTATATGAATGAGAAGTGTGTATTCATTGCTTTGAACCACTCCAAATATTGATGGTTGATAGACAGGCAACAATTGCTGCATTCCGCACATCCATCGATCTCCATCCCATTTCCCATCTCCTACAGGAATTAGAAATACCAGCATGAAATGTGCTGTTTTTTTTGCGCATGTTATCCGGGTCGCATGTGCTGGGGATACAAACAGCTTATATTGATGTGTTGAAGCTATCGTTTAACGGGTTCCCTACCTCCATGTGGGCACCTCAGATACTGTATAAGTTGTCTTTAATAAACTTTAATACACCCATCTATCATCTAACCTAACCATAAACAACCCGCCGGATCGAAAACCGTGCTCACGAAAATATAGTTTTTCAAAAACAATGTGTGTTTTTCCACAGCGAGGTAACTATTTGTGTCACTGGAAAAGTGACAAATTTGGACGTCCAAATTTGGGTGTTTTTTGGGGAAATGTTGTTTTCGTCACAGTAAAACACAAACACAAATTTCTTCTTCATTTCGATCGGACAAAATGAGGCATCCTTTTTTCACTCGAGCTTTTGCAACATGTCTGCAGTCTTCTGAAGCAGTTTCTTGTACTTATGACGAAGCGCCATTGCCACATTTTGGCATATAACATGAGATCTCGGCAGCGTAGCAAGCATTCCAGAGATCTCGGCAGCGTAGCAATGTAGCAAGCATTCCAGAGATCTCGGCAGCGTAGCAACATGTAACGTAGAAAGCATTCCAGAGATCTCGGCAGCGTAGCAACATGTAACGTAGCGAGCATTCCAGAGATCTTGGCAGCGTAGCAACAAGTAACGTAGAAAGCATTCCAGAGATCTCGGCAGCGTAGCAATGTAGCAAGCATTCCAGAGATCTCGGCAGCGTAGCAACATTTATTGTACGCACTAGACAGAACGTTAACACCCCCACCCCACCCCACCCCAACATAACCCACGACATCCCGTCAGCAAAAATGTACGTTTTATGAGCACGGTTTTCGATCCGTAGGCATAAACAACTATCTTCAAAAATGTCATAGTTATCCTATCCTAGCCTTCCAACTACCTCTGAGATAGGTAGCCAGAGTGATTTTATTTTAAATATGTTTGAATTGGTTGCCTATTTGATAGGCAAATGAGGGGACCTGGATGTAAACCAACTTACAACATGGGGCACTTAGATAGCTAAATTGATGAGCATAACCCCCTTCCCTATGTTTATGATGCTTATTAACTTTGGTCAACAAACAGCACTGGGGGACCGCACATAACGTGGCAATGGACCATTGACCATTACCTAGAAATGGAGGTTTGTATATAGCTGGGAAGATCAACTCCCAATGTGACATTTTCAATTGCCATGTTTGATTACCGGACCGGGGGATAAGTAATCTTAATTAATCTTAAATCACCATTAAACACCATTAAGACATATATAAAAGACCATTCCAATCCATTCCAACCTTCATTCACCACCATTTTCTGCTGGTAAATCCCAGGTCTGTCTGTCCCCTGCCCTCCGGCCCCATCCTGGACGTGGCCGGTGGCACCGGTCTGTTGTCCTTCGCCCTGGCACGCCGCGGCCTGCGGAGCGTCACCGTGGATCCGCGCAGCAGCTGCGGCTGCCTGCCGTCGCGCGCGCGCAAGGCGGCGCGGAAGACGGGCGTGGCCAAGTTGCAGCTGGGCATGAGATGGGGAGGGATCATAAACCTATTAACGTACCATATTTTTTTCAGCCACTTTGGAGAATAAATAATTAAATATCCAATTATTACCGGATCAAAACCTATTAACGTGGCTGAAACAATGTCAGAAACCAGCCATGACTGGGAATGGTTTATACCACCTATAAAAATTGTGATTTGGGGTGTTAGCCACATTATTACCCTATTTTGGAAAATAAATATCCTAAGCTGTTGATGAATTGATGAAGGTTTGTTCCATCCAAAGCTGCGGCTAAGTAATAAACAAAACGTTGATTCACAGGGCCCAACATGTGTTTTGACTCAGTGCCCGAGGGTCTAGGATGCAACAAGTGTTTTGAAACTTGCCGACTAGGACTAAAACACATGTTTGGGAAATCCTTGGAAATCCAGTAAATCCAGCGGGTGTCAATCTAGACGTGCCCTTTTTTCCTACTTGTGCCACCCCTGGAGATTTGTCAGCAACAATTTCTCCGCAATTTTTCATTGAGTTTTAAAATCCCATCATTTTTTAACCAAGGTTGTGACATTTCATCAGGTTGTCACCAGGTTGTGAAAATTCGCAAGGTTTTCATCAAGTTTTCACCAGGTTTTCACGAGGCTTTTTCAAAAAGTTTTCACCAGGCTGCACTAGGTTTTCAAACAGATTTCAACCGGTTTTTTGACTAGGTTTTCACCAAGTTTTCACCAGGTTTTCACCAGGTTTTCGCCAGGTTTTGAAAATTCACCAGGTTTTCACCAAGTTTTCACCGAGTTTTCACCAGGTTTTCACCAAGTCTTCACCAGGTTTTCACCAGGTTTTCAAAATTCACCAGGTTTTCACCAAGTTTTCACTGAGTTTTCACCAGGTTTTCACCAAGTTTTCACCAGGTTTTCACCAGGTTTTCACCAAGTTTTCAGCGAGTTTTCACCAAGTTTTCACCAAGTTTTCACCGAGTTTTCACCAAGTTTTCACCAGGTTTTCACCAAGTTTTCACCTGGTTTTGAAAATTCATCAGGTTTTCACCAGGTTTTGAAAATTCACCAAGTTTTAACCAGGTTTTCACCAGGTTTTGGCCCAATGAGATTTTCGATCCATTTTCACCATGAAAACACATAATTTTCACCAAAAAGTAGGCTCAAAACACTTCTTTTGGATCTTTTGGTGAATTTGGAACCTGTAAAACACTTCTTCGTGTTCACAACAAAGAAATCACCAGGTTTTCACCAAGTTTTGAAAATTCACCAGGTTTTCACCAAGTTTTGAAAATTCACCAGGTTTTCGCCAAGTTTTGAAAATTCACCAGGTTTTCACCAAGTTTTGAAGATTCACCAGGTTTTCACCAGGTCTGGAAATTTCACCAGGTTTTCACCAAGTTTTGAAAATTCACCTTGTTTTCACGCAGTACCTATCTCCAAAGTTCATCGGATGTTCGTCAGTTATTTTACAGTCAGCCCGGTGTTCATTAAAATATGAATTTTGAAATGTCACCAGGTTTGCACAAGGAGCGAAAAGACCAAGCGAGCGTCAAACATGATAACATGTGACCTGGATGTGCTTCCAAAATATCATATCATATCAATATCAAATCCCATTGAGATGCTTATACTTATACTGACAATCTCAGCTTTTCATATCCAACCAAAAATTTCTAATTAGTTATTGTACGGTGGAACTTCCTGATACCACATGGTATTCACATGTATTTACAAATCATATTGAGGTCAGTAAAGTCAGCTGCCTTCAGTGGCATGTATCCAGTATTGAACTAAACATGCAGCTGAGGGATATCTTAAACCATCTTAAACCCACTGCAGAGGCTGCAGCATCAACAAGTGTTTTTGTTCACCTAATTTTGGGCCAAAACACTTATATGTGTTTTACGACTCTTGGAGCACTCCCAAAACACTTCTTTGGTTTTGATATACCGTCTCGGTCTGGACAACCCCAACTTAGCAACTTAACAGTTAACCTTGTTACCCTCTGGTAATTTAACATAGCTATGGAAAATCAACAGTGTTAATTGGTAAATCAACTATAAATGGTCATGTTCAATAGCTATGTTAAATTACCAGAGGGTATGCACTAACTTAGCTATGGGCTACCACCTTGCAACATCATTTTCTTTGCCGAGTGACGGGTCTATAAAGTTGGCCTGGCGGCCAGGGACCTGTGGGATATAGAGGGGGCTGGTTTTTCAGACTGGCTGGCCAACAAAGGACCCAATGGTAATCCAACCTGCTTATACGAAAAGACCATTTGTGGATTTCCTGTGCCCATCAAGCATTGTCACAAGAGATGTTCACTACTAGTGCTTTCCTAGCCAGGTTTGATGATTTCCAGAGGGTACCAAGTGGCCCTCCACTTATCATTCAACTGGAGCGATGCATCTAAATCCAACAGATACCCAACATATACTGTAGTTATTTCAATGAACAAAAAGCTGGATATTATTATTTCAAATGTGTTGATGCTGTGTTATAAACTAACTTTGTCTTTATTATTTTTTGTATTTACCCCTTTTGGGATGTGTAGAGCTATCAAGACTGGGTTATTGTTGGTAATTTGGTAATGATGATTACCATTTGTGCTTGGTGACATTCTCTAATATGTTGATATATTCCCTTGCATGTTTAACATGTTTAATATTCATTGCCACCTATATATATATATGCATATGACATATGTATATATTCCCATTCATATATTCCCCTATTTTCCTGATATTCCACATGTGTTCCATGCGATGTTTGTCATGATGATTTGGCCCTCGGGTTCCCTGAGGATGGGCTCCCATCGCGCCTGGTTCGGGGGGCGCCTCGCTGGCGTCGACGATGCCTTCGCGGGAGCAGAGGATGCGGTGCCGGACTGCGACAGCGAAGTGGTGTCCACTGAGCTGAACTTCGATGGGCTCGGGGGTTACTGGTTAAGTGAGTTAAGTTGGTAATTGAGATGCATACTAACATATACTAACTATAGGATTTCATGGTGACTTAATGGGATTTCATGGTCACTTAATGGGATTTCATGGTGACTTAATGGGATTTCATGGTGACTTAATGGGATTTCATGGTGACTCAATGGGATTTCATGAATGGGATTTCATGGTGACTCTATGGGTTTTCATGGTGACTTAATGGGATTTCAAGGTGACTCAATGGGATTTCATGAATGGGATTTCATGGTGACTTAATGGGATTTCATGGTGACTCAATGGGATTTCATGGTGACTCAATGGGATTTCATGGGGACTCAATGGGATTTCATGGTCACTTAATGGGATTTCATGGTGACTCAATGAGATTTCATGGTGACTCAATGGGATTTCATGGGGACTCAATGAGATTTCATGGTGACTTAATGGGATTTCATGGTGACTCAATGGGATTTCATGGTGACTTAATGGGATTTCATGGTGGCTGAATGGGATTTCATGGTGACCATGGTGACTTAATGGGATTTCATGGTGACTTAATGGGATTTCATGCTGTTTTAATGGTGATTGGTGGGACATATAAAGAAATTTCATGGTGATTTAATGGGATCGATGTAATGGTGATTGATGGGACATATAAAGAGATTCCATGGTGATTTATATAATGGGATTTCATGGAAATGTGATGGTGATTGATGGCAAATATAAGGAGATTTCATGGTGGTTTAATGGGATTTCATGGTGATTTAATGGTGAGTGATGGGAAATATAAAGAGTGTTTTTATTGCGATTATACTTTTTTGTTCACATCTCCGAAATCAGCCGAAATTTCCAAACCACAAACTTATCAGAAGTTCAATTTTTCTCAATTACACCAGTCAGTCAATGCCATAAGTCACACTTTCTAGTTATGTACAGTTGTGTGTAGGTGTAGTTCAATTCTATTGCCCGTAAATTGGAATACCTACCAGTGATCTCAGTTACACTCATTTTCAATCAGTTACACCTCTAACCTCACAAATCACCAGTTAAATCCCATGAAAAATCACAAGGGTTACACCTACTAAGTTCACTAAGTTAAATCTCTTACCCCCTGGTTATTTAACAGTTCGCCATGGAAAATCACCACTTTTAAGCCGTAAACCTCTTTTTCAATGGGCCATCGAAAAACCATGGCGAACTGTTCGTCATAACCAGAGGGTAATGAAAATACAATATTGATTAATATTGGATACCCTCTGGTAATTTTTCACATAACTATGGAAAATCACCATTTACAGTGAATTTTCCCACAAAAAATGGTGGATTTTGCCATAGTTATCCGGCCGAGGCGCCGCAGCGCAGCGCTTGTGGCGCTGCACCCCGACGAGGCCACGGAGGCGGTGGTGGACGCGGCCCTGGCGCTGCGGAAGCCGTTTCTGGTGGTCCCCTGCTGTGCTTCGACGGCGAAGATGGTCATATAACTCATCAAAATAGAATGAGAAGTAAAAACCATGGGGATTTAGTGGGATTTTTATCTAAGTTAATAGGATTGAATGGGATTTAATGGGATTTCATCGGGTATAGACAACCAACAGGGGTTGTTTACCTCCAAATATAATGTTTCACCATAAGAATAAGCATAAAACCCTGTGGTTTTACCATGAACAATTAGGGATTTAACCACTGAACAATGGATTTTTGGTGCCCCAGATCGGAATCGCTAAGTTGATTTAGAACTAACAGAACTACAGTTTTTCGCGTATAGATATGTATATAGAATTATTTAGATGTGTCGTCAGCTAGACGGGTTGATGAACCAACATAACAAGAAGGAATGTAATCTGAAAGGGAGATGATTGATTTTTCAACGATCGTTTCTCATAGTTTCTCCATGAATATGGGGTTCTTAGCAGCAATCCAATGGAAAAGCCGGGTCGTTTAAACTTTAAATTCAATCTTCATTTGTTGCAATACATGTACATATATATCATCATTTATGTATATGCATATGCACCTACTAAGGCTAAACGGCCGAAACAATATTATGGATTGTGGGATATCTAAGGTAGGTCATGGATTTGGGATTAATGGTCATCTTGGGACCATGGAGATTATTAAGACAAACATACGGTAGGGCGGGAATTGGAGGGTTCATAGTGGTGAGAAAGTTGGTGAATCACACGATGATAGACAAATTTCGATAGACAATGGGAAGGAATTTATGTCGTTTTTTTACAGAACAATCAGATTGAAACAGGAGTCTGATGATATATTCCAGATTAATCTGGTTGTTCTTTAAGCCTATTTTAATCTATGTCTAACTAGGAATATCCTATGCCGGATATGTTTGGATGATGGAATATTGGATTAGGAAAACCAGCTGGATGATGGGACGACAATCATCCAATCATCCCTACCGTAGGGGAACATTTGACACTCCCAGGTACATAGCATTGGTAGTCATGAGACCCCAATTATATTGGGTGGTTCCATCGGTATCCCATTTTGAGCCAAACTCAAATAGATAGACAATGGTACGCTTTGATTTGGACTGAGTGCAATTTAAGATCCACCAGCCTGTTGATTATGTTGACAATATCATATATCTAGAATGGACCAGAGCGGCTTGGTTGAACACGTTTGCGGCTGAACATGGCATCCTTGCCATTTCTCCAGTCTAAAACTTTACCATGTCAGTTTCAGTGCCCAAGGTCGACCCACGTTCACATTCTGGGTACGGGCCAAAATTATCAACCCCAAAAAATCATGATATGGTTATATTTACATGTGACACATGAACATGAATTTATCTGGTCCAGTGTGGTACGTTTTCTTCAATGTCACTGAGGTGTCTTTGCGCGGCTCTTCCCCCATAGGCAGTTGGCAGACGGAAGACAGGCTGGGTTTGAAAACATCCACCTCAAAGGACTGCACGATACATGATGGCTGATGGCTTGTTGCTTATGTACCCAAAGAAAAAACAACGTGAACTTTGATGTATTTATGATTATCTATCTAATTCACAGCCTCCAGTCATGGTTGATCTTGTGCGGAAAAAATCCCCATTGATATCCCATCATACCCCCATTGATATCCATTGATAACCCTCCAGGTCAACACCTTGTCGGACTTCTTGGAGTTTCTCAAGGCGAAGCATCCAGCCATTCGCCAGGTGCCAGCCGGAGATCGTGGAGGTATGGGGTTTCCTGAAAATGGATGGTTTATAAGGGAAAATCCATCTATAAATCTATAAATCATGGATGATTTAAGGGTAGCCATTTATGGAAACCTCCATATGTTGAGATATGAATTCACGGAGATCTAATGAGAATGCGATGTGTAGATATAGAATCTAATGCGATGTGTAGATATACTCTAGGGCTCTTTGCATTGTTATGTTTACCCTCTGAGAAGGTAAACAAAGACCTCAAAACCAACCCCAAACCCAGTCTCAGAAAGTGTCCGGAGCTGTAGATCTAATCAACAAAATATATTTGGCTCTGCTTGAACATGGGGTACACCCAATATATGGCCATTTCTGATTGAGAACTGATGATTAAACCGAGGATTTAGGGGTACCCCATTTTCAGACAAACCCAGATATCTGTCCAAGTTTGGAGGTGAAACACTGGGAATCTACCGTATGTCAAGTTCCCATCATTACTGTAAAGCCATATGGCAAGTATATAGCATTACCAAACCAGACAAAACAACACATGTTTTTATTCTGGCATGACCAAATTCCTGAAATCGCATGGAAAAGTCCTCACCGCCAGTTAAACGTTCACGTCCGTTGCAGGATTGTTTGCCCTTTGACGGGGCCAACAGAGTCTTGTGGTCCGATGGAAATTACGATCTGCCGACAGCGAAAAAATGGTCCGCGGTGAATTCAAGCAGGATATACTGTGTGTATATGTCATCCTGGAGTAGATACAATATGGAACTTTGCGGAAAATTCAGCAAATCCCCACTAAGATAAGAATATAATTAATATATATATATATATATTATATATATATGTGTCTATCTACTTCAGGATGGTTATAGTTATATATATATATGGTTTCAGCAGTAAAGATGGTGGCTAAGCAGAGTAGCACGGGTGTAGCCCCAAATTGGGATGTGCATCCCTGCAAATGCGGTATAACTGGTATAACTCCAATTTATGGCTATCGTAATGGGAACAATGATGATCAACTAGTGGATTTGGAGGGTGCTACCGTGCCTGTCTTTGGACACATTTCACATCCCAGATACCCAGATGGTTTCAAATACTTATCGGATCCCGGCACTTAGTAAGCGGTAGCCGTAAGTGTAAGGTTGCATTTGGGATAACAGCTCTTACACATCCAGTCTCAATCATTATCCAGTGTCCAGACATTATTATGGATTATGTTTGCATTTTTGGTTGGATATACACAGTAGTGTTAAGACCTTTGTTGCCCATTATGTTTTACCTGTTGTTTACAATTGTTCCGTAGCATTTTACACCACCTTTGCATCATCATGTATGAAGCCTGTGGATCCAAATAAGTCCCAAGTCCAGCTCAATCCCCAAAATCATAGTCAATATCATGTTATCATCTATTTTGCAATACTGTCATGACGATTCCCTAGTGCTGCACATACCCTCTGAAAAGGTGTTTGGACATTCGAAAACAATCTAGAGACGAAGCCCAAACACAGTCTCAGACGGTGTTTGGAGCAGGGATAACACATTTACAGTAAGATTATATAGTTGAAGTTGAAACAAACAACTGCCATTCACCTAAAAGTAATGGACTTTGACTTAAGTATCCCCCACATTTGTTTATAAACATGTATACAACTCCCATATTGTACTGATTTATACAACGACTGGGCTGTATCCCCCATTTACCCAACGAAAATCCTCTCTCCAAGGCATGAAGATGGTCGTGAGGTGCGCGGGTTGGGAACGATGTTTCGTTCGGGGGAGATTGGAATCGCGAGTTGCTTGAAATCACTCACATAATCATAAGTCCGTTTTATGGTATATATATATATATATTTATGTATTATATATATATACGTATATACATATGTATAATGTATATATATATATATATCTACATATATACTTAGGTGGATGTCTGGAGCAACCCATATCTTGGGGGACACCAGCTTGTAGGATTTACAGTAGCCACTTTTGGACAACAGGGATGGTGGGAGTTCATCAAGGAAACATGGAGATTTGGAAATTGGGAGCAACAGATGAGGATTTTCTGGCCGCCAAAGCCTACTTTCATCCAGCAAACAGATGGCAGTTTTATGCATGGAAAGAACATACTGTAGTCGCAAGTGGAAACACATTGTTTCCAGTATAACTCTTAAGATTGAGGTGCGTCAGTCTATATAGTGTGTCTGGGGCCAACGCGTGACCGGAAATTTTGTTGGCGGGCGATGTCGCTGGAATGATGCTTGGTAAGAGTAACTATCCCCAAATGGCATTGTTTCAGCTCAGTGAATGAGTATATATAAAAATGGTTAGACATGTATCCAGAATTTATGATTGCTCTGACCCCGAACTTGAGCCAAATGTGGAGGTCAGTATCATTCCCATATTGATGATTTGGAGAATGATGTTCAGATATGTTTGCATGATGTCACAACCAGAGTTTCTGCAATACTTCGACCAGCGCCATGGTGGATTGTTGATTGTTCCCATCAAAGGAATGGTACAGTAACTTTTGTCCATGGATAGGCCTCAAATATACCCAATATATCCCATCAGGAATCCTTAAATCCATGGAGATATGGAGAATTATATACCCATCTGGCTGGTGGTTTCAAACATAGCTTTTATTTTCCATTTCATATATGGGATAATTTAATAATCCTTCCCATTGACGAACTCCATCATTTTTCAAGATGGTTATTGCACCACCAACCAGATATTTATTGACCAGATATTTATTAACCATCATTAACCATAGAATCACCATACGTATATCAACCATTATGAACAATATATTATAACTTTATAACCAACAACCAGCCATTGTATACCCGTTATATACCCATGATATCCCATAGTGGGATGAGCAACCACGGAATTGGCATCCCAAATCGTAATCAAACATGGCAATGGACAATCTCCCATTTATAAATTTTCGAGATGAATTTCCCATGAACACCTCCAGAATTAGTGGATTATCATGGATTTTCCCACATTTTCCAATGGTTTCCTAGATTTTTTTCCAGTGTTCAAAAAGGGGAGTTCCCAGGGTCGCCACGTTTGTGAACCGCGACCCTGGCAGGTGGAGACGGCTCACCTCTCGGTCTTGCAACTGCCACTTCGATCGGATGGCTGTGGTTAAAATGTACTTATAAACAAGCATATGTTGCTATATGATTATTAACAACCAAATGGATAAAATCTTAAACCGCATGTTGAATCATATGTACTTTTTATATTGTTTTATATTGTTTTATTTAACATCCCATGATTAATAATGATGATAACTACGTTGTGAAACATGGTAAAAACGTGGTTAAAGCAATGCCATTTGCACCATTCCCAAAATCACATTTTTTATCGGTGGGATTGAAACCATCAAAAAAATGGGGTGGTTTATGGCATTGTTTTACCCACATTATGATGTATTTATCCATTAAAAAAATGTTGCTTAGATGGGTTGTTTCTCCATAGATATGTTTAAATGTATTGTTTGTTATTTAACATCCCATGATGACAACTTAACTGTACTATGTTGTTTCTGCATGATGTTTTCATAATAAGCCTATTTTGTTTGGTTATTTAATCATGATTGGACGTTCGCAGAAGTGGTTTGCGACGAAGAAACTGTCGGGTGAGGCATCTGCAGGCCGGATCTTTATCTGTGGCTACTGGGAGAATCATCTCATTGAATCCCACTGAATCCCACAAAGTACTTGACACTGCATGGGTGATGATTGGTTAATTTGCTTGCGGTTGCCAATCGCACATGTTTGAAAAAAAACCCAACAATGGACACTTCACAGGCCCTTGGAGAATTCTGGGTAATTAGTGGCTCAATTCTGGGAAGACATGCGCAGAAATTGAGATCTGATCGAGCAAAAGGTACTGTAAGTACTTGGCTAAACAAAGTTGGCCCACAAGGGTGCATTACATAGATCATGTTGCTAGAGAAACCAATTGATTGTTCAAATCTATGTTCACGTTGACCCTCAGGTAAATCATGGTAAATCACCATTTTTGCTCGTTAAATCATACTTGTGAACTCTGCCCAAATCACCATGAGAATGTCCCATCCCTGGGTTCTTGGTTCGCTCCCACCCCGAGGCAAAGTCCAGTGCCAGGACCTCGTCATGTTGTGGATCGTGGGCTGGGATTGTTTCAGGAGGTGGGTATCCCCAATGATAAGTTGGTTTATCCCCATCTAAGGATAGGATTCAATGGGATTTCATGGGGTTTAAGAGGCTTGCCTTGGTGATGGCTTTTTCATGTTTTTTTTTTACCCCAACACGACACTAGTCTCACATATAAACCACAATAACCATACTTAGTGGAGTTACGTTCACCATGCCAAATGAGCTATCGGTTGGGGGCCCCGAGTGTGTGTCCCATTTAATAAATGGGAACAAAGCCTGTCCATTCCTTCTATGTAATGGTCATTTTATTCATGTGAAATCCAATGGAGTTCCTTTACTGATTTTCGGGGGATGAGATTATTTATTCAAAAGTGCAAACACACTAGGTAAATCTAGGTACGCATTTGAGCCTTGCTGGCAAATAAAAAACACATTGGTTGTAGTTGGTTGTTTAATCTGTCGATGAATGTGCGCATCACTTGCAACGATTTCTTGTCTGGTCATCTGAACCCGATTCGAACCCATTTCCGCACACTTTGAGTGAGAATGTACTGTAGACAAATTGCTCTTTCTGTGAGAAAAAACAACATCCGTGCCCAAAAGTCATAAGACATCACAAGACACATTCGTGCACACAGTTCGACAACTCCTGATTTCAGATATGTTGCTTCTCTCCACATTGTTTGCCAGTGAATCAGAAGTTCGCGTACCAAACTCTTCTGGAAAGCCAGCAGGAAGCGGGGGAACGCAGATCAGATTAGTACCGTGATGATGGGGATCCACTTGGAAAGTTGTGGCGAAATCCCAAACGCCAGCTAACCCCAATTATGGATATGCGTCCCATCCCTGTACCATGTGAAGTATCAGTTATCCGGTCCGTCAAGCTCGCCGTAAGAGTGGTAGGTTGCCCCAAACATGCTACTACATTCATCTATGTACTTTTACTGTGTACCTATGTTGGTGGGTTGACGGGTTAAGGTAGCTGTCATTTGAACCAATTGTCAGTAAGTACCTTTGATATCCTTTAATACCGTTTGGGGAATAACAATTCCCATTGCCAGCTATTTTTGACTTCACCAGGGCACCACGGATTTGACATTGGCGGAGCCGAGGCTGAAAGCCATGCTATGCTCTCAGTGGAAAGAGGCTTCGACGCACCAGGCGGAGACCGGGAGGGGAAGGAGGGCGGCATTGTGACCGTGCTGAGAACGGGATGATTGGGGATGCCACAAAGATATCACCATCATCACCATCATCACCATCATCAAAATCATCCTCATCATCCTCATCATCCTCATCATCCTCATCATCCTCGTCCTCCTGCTCCTGCTCCTCCTCCTCCTCCTCGTCATCATCATCATCATCATACTCATCATACTCATCATGCTCGTCGTCATTGTCATCGTCATTGCCGTATTTATCCTCATCTATATCTATCGAAATATCATAATGTTCAATAACATCAACATGTTGGCGTATCAGCATGACGTGCTGCTCTCTGTCCTGAATTGCCAGGGTTGCCCGTTGTGGTGCCCTTATACATTGGGGATTGTTATTGTGCCTGAACCTGTATGAAAGCCAGCAAATGTTTTCCAAAAAATTCAAATAGGTGTCCAGTTGTTCGTTCTACCCTCTGGTAAACTAACATAACTATGGAAATCACTATTTTTAATGGGTAAATCCACTATAAATGATCATTTTCCATAGCTATGTTAGGCATTACCAGAGGGTATATCTCACCGCATTATCTCCGATTTAGGGGATTTTCTGAGGCTAACCGACCATCATGTTTTGCCAACGCCATATTATATATTTGGTTACATTGCTTGGTTGGTTATATAGATCAACCTGAATATTGGTGAGCTCCTACTATATCCCCATATTATTTGGTGGATGTTCCAATAGGTATCCCCTTATATCATACTATGATATATCCCGATATCCCAATATGTTCTCCGTTAAAATTCCAATTTCATGTCAATTCCAATGTCCTTATGATCAAAATATCTTGAAAACAACCGACAAAAAAGACCATTTTTCAAAAGGATGAGTTTCCCATGTCTATTTGGATCGTTGGATCGTTTCAGGTGAAGCTCCAGGAGGATTTCGCGGAAGTGTTTCCCTTGGTACTGCGCTTTTGGTATGGCCTTCCAGCGTCTCGGATCGTCTCGGTACAGCACGCTGGGGATACAGAAAAATGTAGAGAAATCATATTATTCTACGAATTCTACATGGATGATATAACAATAAGTACTATATTTGGATATAGACTGTCCACAGATACTTGATATATACAGTATATATATATACATTATACAGTGTATAATATTTATATATATATACACACATGTAAGATATTGCAAATATTTGTGGACACAAATGAATAGGATTGAACAGGGGTGGTATGCACAAAATGCCACAGCAAGGTAAGAACTTGTTTGACCAGGGTGTACCGGATGGTAACTTTTTGTGGGGATACTACAAATTCATCCAAGGAAACGTATAAATCTTCACGATAGCTTCCTCCAAGGGAGCACAGAAAAACAATCCATTTTGGATAATATGTCAACACATGGTAGTTTTAATTGGGAAACATCGGGAAAGTGATGAGAATTCATTGTATAACAAACATACCGTAGGAGAGTCTGGACAGGGAAGGGTTTACAGTTGTATGAGTTCCCATGGCGCCTAGGGGTTGATGATGGACTGCCTGGCCTAGGTCCTTGTGGAAACTTTTGAAGTGGCGGTCGACCTGCGCCGTGTAGCGCAGTACTACGTGCGGCGGCACAGAGTGCGCACCCCCGAATAGGTTTGAAGACGGCTATGCGAAGCCTCATTTTTAGGGAAAATATATGAACATATTAGAAAATGATGATGAACTGAACTATGTCGTTTTTCCGGTGCACTATTTTCAGACAAAGCCAAATGGCTTGTCATTGGATCCTTGTTTTAGTGTCATATTTACCTTCCTTGCGACTGATCCTGAGAATGATCGTTGAATTTCCCTTGCCAACCTGAAGTTGCTGAAGATATTGTTGGTCATTGTCTCAATTGTTAATTCACCAAAACCGGGAAATGTAATGGGGCTCATGCTTATGTCATCTTATGTTGTTTATGCCACCATGCGAAGCTTTCACGGGGTCATCTTAGAATAGGGTACCCAAAAATTTCTCAAGATTGCCATAAATTGGGGTATACTAACCATGTTCAGTCAGACCCACATGACTTCAAAAGATCTGTGTCTCAACACATCCACTCATAGCTAAGCTGATGTCGACATACCAGACTCAAGAGGTTCTTGTGTATGATTCATTGATGTGCAATTTTGCTTCATTTGCAATTAGATTCCCATGATATGACTGATAACTTTTTTTCATTCCATTAAATTTCATGATCTCCCAATATATTCCCATGAAATCCAATTAAATTCTAGTAAATCTGATTTTATATCCCTAGAAAGTCCGATGAAATCCCATTCATTCCCTTATCTGATGGCCCGTCACTCAATGGCCATTTCAGGAACCTAAATTGGAGGTACCTACCACATATAAGGCCTATTTTTCAGGCCTAAATTTCAGGGAATATCCCCAGAAAATATGGCCAAAAATATGGTACAGTCCTACCTCCGTTTTAGGATCCTGAAATTCCCATTGAAGTAATGGTCATTAATCGTCATATCTCAAGGTACCTTTGGGGTGCTTTTGGTCATGGGTCAATTCCCATGGCCCAGATCTCAGCGCCCAGATCGAAGCTCAGGAGGCCCATGAACTGAAAGTCTTCAGCGCGGAGCTCATCGCTGATGCCAGGCCCGGCGCAGCGGAGAGTCCCAGTCTTGGGGGCAGTAAGAAGATGGTAAGAAGAAGGGATTTCAAGGGATGTTTATGGATTTTCAAAGGTAATTCATAGGTAAATGGATTTTAGTGGGATGATGATTATTGATGATTATTGATGATTATTGATGATTATTGATGATTATTGATGATTATTGATTATGATTGATGATTATGATGATTATTGATAATAATGGATGGTAATGGGATACAGTGTGATGATGATTATTAGTGGGATGATGTAGATATGGATTTAAAAGGATTATAGGATTTAAATTAAATGGATTTTCATAGGCAATGGATGGCAATGGGATACAGTGGGATGATGATTGTCCCATAATCTTTAATATTACCTATGAAAATCCCTTTTCAAGCAATATTCAGGATGATTATCATGATTACACATTACAAGAACAAGATACAGTGGGATGATGATTATTGATGATTATTGATGATGATTGATGATGATTGATGATTATTGATGATTATTGATGATTATTGATGATTATGATGGGAATATAGCCACATACCCGCCGGTAATTTAACAGTTTGCTATGGAACATGCATAAACATTGCCCGTTTAGTTCGATGGTTTACCGTTTTTAACATGGGGATTTTCCAAGGTATGTTATAAATACCATTATACAATGTACTGATCTTCCCATCAACTTGTTGAGTTGATTTTACCATTCAAATGCTAAAGCATATGCTCCCAAATCAATATGTTTAAATTTGACATTTCAACTGAACAAACCCAGACATGTTTCGGGTCTCCGAAACATCCTCAAAGACAGCCCAGACGTATAAGACGTCAAGGCAGACAGGGGCACCTGTTTGGTTTACATCCAGAACCAGGAGCAAAATCATTGGGCGGAACCATGAGAACTGTCTAAGAGTGCACTTCGCTGAATCACAACTATGCTATACAGTAGTTTCTGTATGTTTATGTTCTTACTGTAGAACATAGGTCAATTACACCTCATTTCGGCACACCTCGGTCTCTTTTCAGTAATGGTGAACAAAAAAACGACATCCTATGGGTTTGTCTGAAAATACACCAAAAATCCATTGGTTTCTCATTAAGATAGCCATTTGGGATCATTTAGGTTCCCCATTTTCAGACACACCCAAATATATCCAACTATCATATTAGATTCCCATTAAACCTATTCAATCCCATTAAATCCTAGAAAATCCAATTAAATCCTAGTCAATCCCATTAAATCCTAGTAAATCCCAAATCCCATCAAATCCTAGTAAATCACATTAAATCTTAGTACGTCCCATTAAATCCTAGTAGATACCATTAGATCCTAGTAAATCCCATTAAATCCTAGTAAATCCCAGTAAACCTCATTAAATCCCATTAAATTCTAGTAAATCCAATTAAATCCTCATAAATCCCATTACATCCTAGTAAATCCGTGTAAATCCCATTAAATCCTAGAAAATCAAATTAAATCCTAGTAAATCACATTAAATCTTAGCAAATCCCATTATATAAATTCTAGTAGATACCAATAGATCCTAGTAAATCCCATTAAATCCAATTAAATCCCATTAAACCCTAGTAAATCCGATTAAATCCCAGTAAATCCTAGTAAATCCCATTAAACCATAGTAAATCATATTAAATCCCATTAAATCCTAGTAAATCCCATAAAACCCTAGTAAATCCCATCAAATCCCATTAAATCCCACTAAATCCTAGTGCATACCATTAAATCCTAGTAAATCCTATCAAATCCCACTAAATCCAATTAAATCCCATTAAACCCTAGTAATCCGATTAAATCCCACTAAATCCTATTATCATACTACTACTTGGATATGTGCCAGTTCATTTCTTCACATTGGCAGGCCTACTGCGCCGCGCATGGCCTCGGTGGTTGAGAAGTTGAGTGTCTTGGTTGGATAAAACCTGTGGTGACTATAGGGGGTTTTAATAGTACCAAATTATGCTTATGGTTATATATTATGAAATATAAAACCATGGGTAATAAATATCTAATGTAACAATATGATATGGGTATATAGTTGAAATATATGGATAACCACAGTTAGACCATATATATATAGCTATAGGGGCTTATATATTATATGGTTTAAGCATCAATTAACATGGGTATATGAAATTGAAATTAATTGATCAATCTTGGCAGCATGTGGGATTCTACAACTAACCATTACTGCAACCATTGAGGCGGAAATTCACATCATCCCAGTCATAGGGACATACCAAAAATAAACGAACATTAGGGGAATTCTTTATGACATAGGGTTTACGGTTTACCGGGTTTACAAAATTACTTTAGCAACATTTGAGGGTTTCCATAAATGGAGGTACCCCTAAATCATCCATGTTCATAGGATTTTCCATTATATAGAAACCGCCATGTGCCCCCAAAAAGTGATCTAATCGTAACGCCTCAACTACATTCTACTTAGGGTCTAGAACGGGTGGACGTCGAGGATCTGGCTAGGGTGACTAGGCGGGGTCCTGAAAGGGGAGCTTGAAATTTTTGGCAAAGTAGTTCAAGGTATCTGAATATAGGTAAATATAGCATATTTATTTACTATGAATCTTATTTTTCTGACATTGGGATTGCACATCTGCCTGTGAGTGATAGTTGGCGCATCTTGATATGTCCAACCACAGATCAGCTTCTTGCTGTACCATTAAGACAAGGGCCAAATGCCTCAAGGTTTCAGGAAAATGGTGTTAGTGCAAATGGCAAGCACCAAGGAAGATGATTCCACAACAATAAACATAATATTGATAATACCAATGATACTAATGATGATAATGGTGATGGTGATGGTGACGATGACGATGATGATGATGATGATGATCATGATCATGATCATGATAACAACAATTGATAATAATTATGATAATGATAAAACAATGATAATGATGATAATAGCAATGATAATGGTTGTTACCAATTTATTTCAAACTAAGTTTCCACAGACGCAAACTCATCAACTCATGCCGTGCAATATCAGCATTGGTTGGTTGAAGCTACCAGTACAGGTAGCATAGTCACTTGTGTCGAGGCGAAACATATGCGTATATTAACTATATGCGTATACATGTGTGTATCACATACATTAGATATACACAATATATGTGTATATTATGTCTATTTTGTACACAAAGACATATGTTTGGGGGTGTATTTTCCGTTCATTTTTGTGCCAAAAGACACGTTTCCTGCAATCGATCAAGGCTTTGAAGAAGACTTGTTGGAAAGAGCCTGGGCATATCTCGAGGCCACTGGGTCTATGTGTTGTGGAGAAAGCATCGTTCGGAACCGTCTTTATGTTTGTGTTTGTCCTATAAGATCGTGTTGCGATCCTATGTTTGAATTCAGTTTTCTAGATTAGTCACACCTAGATTATTGTTTTCTGTTAACCGCATGTTTGCAAAAGGATCTCTTTCGGGATCCGAAACAGCCCACCCAAGCTGTTACCCAGATTAGGGTCCAGAAGTACCTCAAATGATGTTAGCAAATGCGGAGCCAGAGAAAAAAAAGAAACAAACAATCCTGGGCGGAATGCAGTGCTAGCCCTATTTCAGTCTCAGAAGATCTGTGAATACCAGTGAACTTCCCGAATTCATGCGGCGGTTATAGACACAATATCTTCGAATCCCTACGAATCCGTACGAGGTGGTTCCCCAGTGATGTGAACGTTGGTTAAACCCCATGAATACTACAGATGTATCTACAGTACCATAAAACATCGTTGAGTCATAGTTGAGTCCAGTAATAAGTCAACTTCGGCATCATAAGTCAGCTATAAATCAGCTATAAATCAGCTATAAAATCCAATGAAATCTCCATATATCTGTTGGTTCGGTCATCATTTTCCTAGTTTGGAACTTTCCCAAGGATCGATGGGATCGATGCGCCAGGCACATCCGCGCGAGCTCTTCTCCTCATCTGCCTGGCTCAGGTGGATCCGTCAGGGGAAAATGCTGATTTAAGCAACATGAAGCGACAAAGATATGGATAATCATTGGGATTTAACCAGGTTTGTTGTAGGAAAATTGTGATATAACCGACAAACTCATGGAGATGTTATGAGATTTATGTAGATGTATAGCTGATTTATGATAGTTAAGTTGACGCACACAACTTGCTTAACTTGTGTTTATGGTGGATATGACTTTAATTTACTATAATTAACGGGGTTATAAATCAATGCGGGGCTTCACCTTGTCGTGTAGCAACACGAGTATGGGGATATGTTTTAGATGTGATGAATTGCATAAGCTGCATAAGCATTCCAAACATCTTTGGTAGTTCTGATAGCCCAGATACAACGAATATATTGACAAACATGGTCATTAATACACCAACTGGAATGCACATCCATGTGGTCAGCACCAAAACATGGCATAAGTCACCAGCATATTCGCCATAGCCAGCCTTTTATGGACTGGGCCCGAGGATCATCCGGGTGGTGAGTGGTCAGTGATTTGGTCCATGTCCAGCCATTTTCGGTTATCTCACTGAGAATCTCACTTGTAAACTGAGCTGAATATGGGGTCAACGTCAGCTCCCCAGAGATTTTCAACACTCCAAGATGTGCTGTGGTTTGGAATATCACCAAACAAAACCATATAGATTCAGTATGCACATATACAATCATATACACATACATACACGCAGCATGTCAGTCTAGGATTACCATGGTTTGCCATGTTCCTCCTGAGGTTGTCATTGAGCACGCTGGCAGATTTCCTGAGGCCTATGGAGAGCTTTCTGGTTGTGAAATATGTGCCCTGCCGCACTATGAAGAAAATTTGTTTTTGTTTCAAATATGTTTGAGTTATAAATACATATATATATATATATAATACGTGTCGCACAAAATTGGCAGAACAATCAGAATTTACTCATCATGGATGGCCATATGTGTCAAAGTTGTGAGCATTGGGATCAACGGATCTGTTTTGGCACTGAACAGTCCTATTATTCATGTGGCACGTATTAATGTACCACCAATGGAAGAGGATGGGATACAGTGTTTTTTCCAACATCTTGAAACCAACTGGTAAAGATGAAAGCTGTGACTCTGAGAAAAGATGTAATTAATGTATATGAATGAATTATGTCACTACATGTTTTGTCACAAAGGTTTGAAGCAACACACTCTTATATACAAGATAGGCAGTACTTTGAGGATCATCCCAGTCAGTGTCCTATTGGTATCAGAACGGTTAGTCGTCCCATTTCCCATAGGTCCTAGGGTTATCCCATTTATAAGTGGGCAAGCCCGGTTATGATTCATGGGATCCTCCAAGTAGCAGGGGCTCCATGAATTGTGGAGCACCACGGCACCTTTTTTCGCGCAGGCGTGACGAGATCCAGTGCCGTGAGCCCGTGATTTTGAGGGCTCTTGGACGCTGGGCACGTGCCAGGTGCGGCCAACAAGCTGATCGTAATCCCTTCCCCCTAATATGAAAAATAGCCCTCAGAAACCATGGCAAAATATGGAGACATTCTCACATGGTTATTGGATAATTAAGGGGGTGTTGAATATGAGGGGGATGAGATTAACCTCGTGACCTCTAAATGCATGTGTAACACCTTCAACCTATACTTGACTTTCTGCACGCTGTGGAGGTGGTGTGCCATTGTTCTCCATTCTTGAGTTGCCTCTGTAGTAGGCCCTAAGAGTTGCCCCCGGTTTGCGCTTACAAAACTCTCAACGCCGGCTATGTCCGCAATTCACCTCCAAAAAGGTACTCGTAGAAAAGTAAAGACGCACTATTCACCCAAGAACCATCATGTTTATGGGTCTTGGGTTCTCTATGTAAGATCGTGGTAAATCACTTTTTTCTATCTTCTTGGGGTCATTAAAAGCTATTAAAAGCCTCCAAAAATTTGGGAACGATGGGCTGTGGTCCCACATCCAGGCTGGAAGAACCAGCAGGAGCTGCTGTCCGGGCCATGGGGTGATTTTGAAGGATCAATCACGATTAATCTAAACAAAAAAAAAGGTGCCTCCATTTTGATCGCTTGTTTGAATCGGTAAGAGAGAAAGCTTTTGGGTACCCGGTTGCAAAATGCACTGCGCATGGTTCCGCCATGTTTTCTTTATCCAACTTGATCTCTGTGACACAGCCGATGCACAAAAGGACCCAATTTGTTGCTTTCAATGTTCAACTGATGTCTCGATCTAAGATGTCCTCA